ACGCATGAACCCTGGCTTGATTCTTTGCGCAGGATGGTCGACCCTTGTATGTGTATCGAATTGCGTCAGTGAGCAAGGTGCAGCAAGAACTCAATGCTGTACCACCTGAACGTCGATATCAGAGAATGTGAGGAAATTTTTTTGATTTTGATCGTATTCACATAATTTTCTATTCTAGTATCGTACTATACGAAGTTATGACACGGTTTGTGCTTCCACTATGCTCCAAACTACCTCATTCAACAACGACACCAATATCGTCGGTTACTACGATCATTGATCTGGAGGACTTGTCATTCGGGGCGATGTGGTCACTGCGAAATCATCTACAGGAAGCTTCTCGTCTTGCTACAGCTAACTATCCGGAGACACTTCACACAATTGCTGTGGTGAATTCGCCATCGTACTTTCCTAAGATATGGGATTGGATAAAGGTAATTTTTTTGTTTGGATTTCTGACATGCTTCTCAAGACTTGATTCTAGGCGTGGTTTGATGAGGGCACGCGGAAGAAGATATTCGTACTAGGAAAGGATCCAGGACCAATGTTGTATAATATCATAGAGAAGAAGGATTTACCAAAGGTGTATGGGGGAGAGCTAGAGTGGGTGTATGAGGATGGACCGCTATTAGATTCGGATACAGTAGAGGAGATAGGGGAGATGCCCAAGGGACCTGTAGTGTTTACAGTTTAGCCAGTAATCAAGTGGAGATGATGTCATGACGTCAGAAGCGAAAAGGATTCGATTCGAAACAACGTCATTGAAATTAGTCGGCTCCTACAAAAATGCAGGCAGGTAATTACTTTGTCAACTATGGCCCCCTCACTGTCTTCTGCCTTCCACAAACTTATACCCTCTAGGAAACGTGATTCCTTGAAGAATTTACAAGCAGATGACCAACCTTCTTCCAAACACTCATCTAGGTCTCACTCCACAGAACGTTCTTCTATCGACAATGCCAATGCAGAAAAGGCAGATAAACTTGGCGATCTCGACTCTAAATTTCTCAAACAAGAGAGAGAAATCGAGGACGAACGCAGGATTCGCATGAAACGCGCTCAGTCGTCTCAAATAGCCGTCATGACAGAGACTCCCGAGCAGAGAGAGAGGTACGGCGAAATCGATTACGATGCTTTTGAGCCAGAGGATGGCATCGAGGAAATTTTAATTCAAGACCTGAGCGACGATTCAAGGCTTGGTAAAACAGTAGATCTCAGAGTCCGCCTGCACACCATCCGAGCCCTATCTTCTGCCCTCATATTTCTCGTTCTCCGTCAACAAACTCACACCATCCAAGGCGTTCTTGCCGCGGACGACGAGCTGGGGATATCAAGCCATATGGTCAGGTGGGTTTCAAGATTGCAGGAAGAATGTATTTTGCACGTCAAAGGGGTACTGCAAAAGCCTAAACTCCGGGAAGGAGATGGCCAGGTTCACGCCACCTCCATCCATAACATGGAACTGCGTATCCTCGAAGTGCACGTTATTTCCAAAGTAGCGGAGCCCGTGCCTTTCAGCGTCTACGAGGCAGATCTAAGTGCCAAAGCTAAAACCGCCGACTCTGAATATGATGATTCGGACGACGGGAAAGGCGCTGCAGGTCCCTACATCTCCGACCGAGCTCGTCTCAACTCACGCATCATGCACCTTCGTTCTGCTGCTGCTCAGTCTGTATTCCGTGTCCAATCTACCATGTCCACCGTGTTCCGGTCTCATTTAGCTTCTCTTGGAACTCCCGATGCTTCCTCAGCGACCCCCCCTCGCGAATTCATCGAAATTCACACCCCAAAGCTCCAAGGCGGAGCTTCCGAATCGGGCGCTTCCGTCTTCAAGCTCAAATATTTCGGAAGAGTCGGATTCTTAGCACAGAGTCCTCAGCTGTTCAAGCAGATGAGTATCGCCGCCGATTTTGGTGGAACGAGTAACAACGGCGGGGTATTTGAGATCGGCCCCGTGTTCAGGGCGGAGAATAGCAACACTCACAGACATCTGACGGAATATACCGGGTTGGATATAGAGATGGTGATTCAGAGACATTACCATGAGGTAGGCGAAAACGATTAGCACTATCACGATTGCACTAATATGTATTGATATCGCAGGTAATGCGCACGGTTGACTCCACCCTGAAAGCTATCTTCAAAGCAGTGTACGAGACCCGTCGCAGGGAAATTGAAATTATCAAAACTCAATTTCCTTTACCAGACTTGGTCTGGCTGGACGAAACACCTGTCATCATATTCGCTGATGGTGTCCAGATGCTTATCGATAGTGGGTGGACGGATGATGAAGGAAATAAGCCCAAGAAGGACGAGGATCTGAGTACCAGGGCGGAAATCAGACTGGGAGAGTTGGTTAAGGTCAGTTGAACGATTGCAAGTCTTCTGCACCGAATTAATAATCTATCTACTGCAGGAAAAATATCACACGGATTACTACATTCTTGACCAGTTCCCCAAGTCTGCTCGACCCTTCTACACCATGCCTGCTTCCGCCGCCACACAGGCCAGCATCCGATCACGACACCCCGACGCAGGTGACACCACCAACTCTTTTGATATTTTCGTAAGGGGGCAGGAAATCACGACGGGGGGACAAAGGATACATGACTATGAAACGTTGATTCAGGCAATGGCTGAGAATGGCATCAGGTATATGTGTATTCAACTGTTCTAATCTTTTTCCAATTCTCATCCTTCTTGCCCGCAGTGAACGCGGCCTGGAAGATTACCTCGACGGATTCCGTTGGGGTGCGCCTCCTCACGGTGGGGCTGGCATCGGACTTGAGAGGCTTGTCATGCTCGTTCTTGGTTTATCAGATATTCGCTTTGCGTCAATGTACCCGCGAGACCCGAAGAGCTTACCGGAACCACCGAAGGGCCTAGAGGGATTGCCTCATCCAGAGGCTAGTACTGCGCCTGTGGCGAGCAAAAATGTGAAGATGATCAAGTGCATCTGCCAATCTCAGTTTAGGCGCGGCGGCGACAGTTTGGGAGAGAGTCTGGGGGCGTCCCAAGCTTCTTTAGGCTTCGATCAGTTGTCACTAGACAAACTTGATAGTGGATCGCCTACTCCAATGCGGGCTCCGTCGCCTCCCACAATTTCAGGGTCGGGAACATCGACGCCTCATAGTATAGGTACAACATCAACAGCAGGCTCGGCTGTTGGATCGACGTTCAGCGCAGCAAGTACGGGGTCTAAAGTTAGACACCCACCGCATCATGTCGGACCGAGTCCGTTGCACCAATCTGCTATTCCCAACGGCGATTCCGCCATATCTAGTGCTCTTGTGTCTCAAAGCGGTACCATAGGAGGTGGGGGCTCAACCTCCGTTATCGGTGGTGCAGGTCAATCTTCATTTACCCACCTCAACAAAACATATCCTCCCCTTCCCAAGCTTATCGCGAACTATGGTGATGCGGCTAATACGTCCTGGTTAGATGACCGGTACCTTGTATGGCGTGACGGGCCCACTGGAGCTGCGATAGGGTTCGTCCCGAGTTCAGGCGGCTTTAGTATTATCGTTGGAGACCCGCTATGTGAGAAATCGCAGTATGCAGGTGTGGTAGGCAGATTTTTGGGCTGGTGCAGGAAAGGAGAGAAGGGGGAGAGCGATGATCATGAGGAACGACTCGGCTTCATTGAACGCAAACAGATTACCTCTTCCGAATCCGACAACGAAGGGAAGAAGGACAAACCTCTTGGCCCACTGAAGCCAGTCTGGCTCCTTGCCTCCTCCGATCTCGAATCAGTCCTGGGCGCCAGATTGGGATGGTCATCGTTCACTTGCATTGCTGAAAGCAGGGTCGAGTTGGAGGGAGAAGTTCCTTCGTCGCTGGATGAGAAGGAGGTCAAAAAGAAGGTCTGCATATTCATACTTGATTTATCTGTCTCTTCGTCCGCTGACTTTGGTCCTCATTTCACAGGTACGAAGAGCAGAAGCTGAGGGTGTCCATGTTGCGACTTGGCTCGGCAGGGATGGGTTTGTTACGGATGAAGTTGAGCAATTGAGTGCTTTCGATCAGCATGATGGTATCTTCGTTCAGCCTTCAGCCTCTGCTTCAAACATCCCGGCGTTATCTGCAAATACTGTTGCTACCTCCGGGGGTTCCTCCGCCAAGTCGAATGGCATGCCTCTTTCCGTAAAGCATGCCATCGACTCATGTATCGCCGAGTGGCGCGAGGGAAGAAGAAAGAAGGGCGGTCAAGTCCGATTGACGGAAGTCGAAGTATGGAGGGACTTTGTACATAGGCAGTACTTCGTCGCCATGGGACCCAAGAAGCGACGTGAAGAGGAAGAGGCAGGGTCGCCGAGACCATCAATGGATGTCGCATCGACCCAGACAGTGGGGAAAGATGGGGAAAAGGTTCCCGTTGCCCTAGTGGTCTTGCATCAACTTTCCCCCAAATACGGTTTCCAAGTGAAATACGCCCTTGACTTTGCCAATTCGCCATCTGGGTCCATCGAGGCGGCTCTTTCAGCAGCCATGCACGCGGTTGCCTCTACCGGATCTGGCCGGCTGACGTTCGGTACCAGCGCTACATCGCGACTCACGGCCGTGCGGAATGTTGCAGGCGTAAAAGTGAAGGTTTTGAGTCACGCGTATGAAGCTATTTCGGAAAAGATGAAGTTGCATGGGAAGGGAGATTTTAGGAGGAAGATGGGCGCGGAAGAGGAGGATGTTTACATTTGCTTCCCGAGAGGTGGACTGGGCGGACGGGGAGCCAAGGCGGTTCTGGATTTCTGTGTGGCTGAAAATTGAAGGATGGGCCACATCACTTTTTTTCCCTTTTGATCGACGATGGACTATTAATATACCTTACCCTGCAATGTTTTTTTTTTTGCTTCAACGTAGAATACACGACCGTGGATAAGATTACATTTCGTTACTGATGCATTCTTTAATGTTGTTAATGTTGTAACTTACGATTTCATGATTCAACAATGTACAAGCGACTTTAAAACAGTTTAGTGGGTAGAGCCCATGATTCATTGTCTGGTTCGGTGGTGTAGTGGTTATCACGTCTGTCTCACAAGCTTTTATGCTTGTGCACAGGAGGTCTCCGGTTCGAAACCGGGTCGAATCAATGCCGATTTTGCTTGATTGGCTTTTTTTTTTGGACTCCTACCATAGGCTGCGCTTGACTAACTTAACTTTCGACCAAGTGCGTAAGTAGGCAGCCTTTCGAGGGAAAAGTAGTAGAGGAACAGACAATTCTATACCGACAGAACTCTTGGGCGGAGACAGAACAGTGCCTACGGTACCGTTACGATCATGATCGCGAAAAGCAAAATAACGAGGATTAATTGAACGAAGGAGGACGAAAGGCAAAAAAATTAAAACGATCTCGAGATCAATTCTAGGACCGATGACATTTGATTGCGATCAAGTACATAGTCGGATATTAGTCCTCTGTCCTAGGTCGTTTAGACTCTGCGCCCGAATCATCATCTGGTGCATCGCGGGTGTGTGCTCCGGATGGGGTGGTATGAGCAGTTTCTCGCTGAACCGAATCGACAACGCCAGCTTGGTCCCCGAGAGCGATTCCATCCAACAGTCCGTTTAATACGGCTTCCTCGACTCTACGTCGTAATTCGGCATCTACGGTCTCTGGGTCGACACCTTGGTCGATGAGATCTTGAATGGAAGATAGCAGTGAAGCTGTGAGTTGTTCGGAAGCGGCGTTTTGGGCATATTGGGATGGCGCGGATAAGGCATCGGAGGGAATTGCGGGAGGAGGTAGGGAGGAATGGGATTGGAGAAAGGCAGACACTTGAGGGAATTCTTCTAAAAGGTGGAGAATGGGCTATTGGAGTTGATAAATGGGAGAAAGTCAAAGGAATTAAAGAGACATTACTGAAATTCCTTCCTCGTTGACTCTGTCGATTATAGCGCCTTTTTCGACAAGGTATTGGGCAGTTTCGAGATTCTCGACTGTGTACAAGGGTGTATCGCCGTCAGAGTCGGTTATATTAACGTCTCCGCCTTGGGAATATGAGCGATGAAGAAGATATAGAAGTGGAAGAAAACAGACCGTGAGATATGAGGTAGTCCAAGATATGGATATGACCGTAAGAAGCTGCTGCATGCCTGTAAGGTGTTGATAGGGAATTGGATGGGGGTATGATTCTAATACCGACATTGGAGTGTATGTATTTGGATCTGGAGAGTTTGGAGAGATGGCTAGAACAAAAATGAACAAGTGATTGACGAATAAATTGACAAAATTTGCCTTGCTGCTCTACGAGTTCCTAAGTGGAAATGAGCAGAGTAGACTGTAGGATTGAAGAAGATAGTGATACCTTTACTCTTTCCAAATCGCCGTCGCCAGCAGCTACCCAGATATTTTTTTGAGAAATGGCCATGATGGAGAAATCGAAAAATGATCGGACCTGAGGTGGCCGATCGAGGGATAGTGTATAGACTATAGAGTAAACTATAACATACAGTAAACTTCAACATATACTGTAAATCTGGTATACTACTCTATCCTTTTATTATAAGTATGTTCAACTTTCTACTAGCTAGTTCCGAGTCATTCAAATCCTGTGCGGGGCTTAATCACATTTTTGAAACCTTTTACCTTACATGCCCCCTAATTTTCATCTTGTCCCGTTTCCTCCTTCTCCCTTACCATCTACTTGTCTTCCTTCCTGTCTCGCCGGCTCTCGCTCTCCTCCATCATGAGCGTATTTGCCGACAGGCTCTATCCCCTCGATCAGCCCCAAAATTCTCTCCAAAACCTACCTAGTATCCTCGAAAATTCCTCAGAGTCTTCTTCCCCAATCCCTCCTCTTCCAGACCCTTCTTCTAGGCTTCCTCAGTCCCCATTCTCCTCAAAGGATGTCGGCCAGCAGAGTTGTTGTAAGCGTCTTTTCCCATTTTATCAATCCAACTGTGTTTATCGAATGCTCATCCTCGCACACTAGATTGGGCACTATTGTCCGCAGATCTTCAGTTTATCTATCTAGGCCCTGTTCTTCAGCTTCATCTTCAAGAACAAGCCAGTCAGCTCGTCGGAAAGTCCCTCCTCCAATTTGTCCATCCCGACGAACAGGCCACCGCCCAAAGAGACCTCGGTGGCGTTTTACAGAGCAAAACTCTCCATGGCAGTATCACCCGGTCGGTCTTGCGCCTCGCCCAGTCCGCCTTTACTAACCTCTATTTTGTAGCGTTCGTTTCGCTCGACTTTACCACATTCGACACCGACTCGGTCACGACGGCCCCCCTGCCTCCAACGACAAACTCGTTGCTGACCCCAATTTCCTGGCCACTGACATTGTCATCAACTGGGCCGCCGAAGGCCTTGTCCTCTGTTTCATACACGCCACCAACGACGAGTCTTCATGGGCACAGAATCTTTGCGGAACTCCTGTACTCGCTCAGGAGCAACTGCAGAGTTTGTCTCGGAGTCTGCTGATGTGTGCGCCGGAAAGTTCACATGGAAGAGTGTTTCAAATTATGGCTAATGCGTCCGCAAGGCCATTGCTTTTAACCTGGCCGCCATCCCAAGACACTTCGTCAAATAAAGATATTGCTGATCTTGCAAAGTCCGTCGACTTGAGTGCAATCGGTTCCTCGTCCTCTCAGGCAAGGACAAACTGTACCCGTAGGTTCAAGGCTTTGCGGGAACTTCACGGAACACAAGTGGAAAGTGTATATATCCCACATGGTAAGTGCGTGGTCCTTTGCCTCGTTAGGGGCGAATCTGTATAACCAATTTCCGCTAATGATTTTTCTTTCTTCCTGCCGTATCCTGCGTGCAGGCAGTGTGATTTTCGCGTGCCATAAACTTCAATCTTCCGGTACTTCCTCGCCTTCGTCTGCTGTTCGTTCTCAGTCTTCGTCTAATACAACAAATTCGTCCTCGATTCCCAATAATTCCTTCATGGGTTACAACGGCGCATCGTCGACCTCCTATTCTCTTCCACCACCTCCACCTCACCAATCGTATTACGATCAGCAATATTCATTGCCACCGCTGTCTTCTTCTTCTTCTACACTTCCTCCGCCAACAAGCTCATTCTCTTTTTCATCGGCGCAGCCCACCCTTCCGGTTTCGAATCAGTATGGATATGGTCACTGGAACCCTTCTTCACATCTTTCTGTGCAAAGTCTGCGATCAGGATACTGGAATAGTCATGGATCTGCAAGCTACGAAAATGGCTCCAGCGTTCCCTCCAGTCTTCCTCTGAGCGGCGGTCATCAATCTCACGGAACTTACGGCCGACCCCTTTCCCCGTACGATTCGCATGTACCCTACTCCTCGACCACATCTAACAATGTCGCCACCAGCCATTTGAATGGATTACATGGAGACACTCCATCTCCAACATCAGCCACTTCTTCCGTTGCTGACTTAGTGCCTCCTCCGAGGCGTCGTGTCTCTCCTGGCTCTTCGCGAGACTTTCGTGAAAACAACGGAGTCACAGGAAGTAGAGAGCGCAGCCACAGTAACAGACCGTCCGGACTGCTCAGATGTAGCAGTTGCAAGACGACGACCAGCCCGGAGTGGAGGAAAGGCCCTAGTGGCAAAAAAGAACTATGCAATGCGTGAGTCACGCCTTGCCTCGCTTTATCCTTATCCTAGCCAATCATGTTAATCGATGTATGCTTTGCTTTTGACAGATGTGGACTTCGGTACGCTCGCTCGCGTGCCAAGAAAGAGGGCCATGTCGTGTCCAGTGGTGGAAGAAAACGCAAAGACAAGGCTGCTAAAAGAGACTCTGCCACCCCTCCTTCAGCATCGTCGACTGCTGGATCTGTCGCGAGCTCGTATTCCGCTTCCGGGGTTATTCCGTACCATTCTTCATCCACTTCGTCCTATCCATCTGCCGGATCGCTTAGAAGGACATATGCACCAAACTATGACGATGTAGGGTCTTTTACCTCTTCTGGGAATGATATCTATGGAGCCGCCAGAAGCGCTGGTACTCCTTCACCCTCGCCTCCTGCCGGACCTGCCAGTGCAGGTGGAGGATATCCGCACTACGTCAGTGCTCCCTCGGACTCCGTAGCCCACGCCCCGCACAGTGCTGGCCATCACCAAGGCCGTACCAGCTACTATGGATCGTCGATCTCTTCTCCCCTGGCGGCCAATCCTCCGATGCTTCAGACGCAATCGTTTGAACGCGATCATAGAGACCGAGAAGGTTTACCGCCTACGCCAGTTAGTGCGGAACCGAGAACGTCGTATTATGAAGCTAGTTATAATCGCGTCGAGCGCAAGGACCCGCCGCGCGGGTATGAACGCGACTATGAAAGAGATTACGAACGCGAAGGACGGCCCAGGAGCATGGTCACTGGATAAAGCAGACACAGGGTCACTCCAATTTTCTCGGACGATTTTTTTTTACTTGGTTGAGGCTCTGCACGGCTCTGTTTGTAACTTCTTTTCTTTTCTTTTCCGAAAACTGTATGTTTTTCAGGGTCTTACTCAGCCCTACGTGACTTGTATTGGTCCAGGTTTCCTGTTGTTTTTACATTGGATGATGGTATGTACCCAAGCATCGCATATGTGTTCCTTTAGTTTTTGTACTGTATTCAAATCACCTCGCTACTATATTCTATAGAATACAGCAATATGATGCGACCTCGGATGTATGAGGCTTGCAGATAAAGTACCTTAAATAACTGTTTTTGTCGTATATTATTCTCGGTCCATTCCTAGACGTGTTGTTTGATGCTGTACACATACATGATTGGAATAGCAGTCTTATGATGCAACTCGTTACTCCAGTGCTTGGTACTTGGGAGCTCCTACTGAAGATGAACATCGGAATCGAAATTAATGGAAACATTATGGATATTTTGAGTACAGCCGAATGAAATTCATGCTTTTGCTCGTCGGTGCGTTTAGGTAAAGACACCATAAAATGAGCTTTGACCGGACGTTCCGGGACCGGCAATCAAGCGGAGCCGCGGCAAATTTGAATGGATGCAAGTTTCTTCGATTGACAATATGGCCGAAGAAACAGTTCAAGCTCCTGCCTCGCAAGTTGTCGACGAGACACCAGAAAAGTCTGTGCAATATCTTTTCCAACCTTTTGAAGTTTCTTATTCGCCAGTACAGGACCGCCAGAGTCG